GCCTAGAGATCTAGAATATCACAGATTAAAGAGAAAAGTGTGCTAAAGATTCTGAGATGTTCCTACAGTCTACACATTCTTTCATTCAGAAACTATGAGAAAAATACAAACACCTACTTTTTCGGTTGCGTTTTGGAAAGTAAGTGTTTGTATTTTTCTCATAGTTTCTGAATGAAAGAATGTGTAGACTGTAGGAACATCTCAGAATCTTTAGCACACTTTTCTCTTTAATCTGTGATATCCTAGATCTCTAGGCGTCTCTTTACTCAAACATTATAAGAAAAACAAAATGCAAAAAGATCGTTACGGAATTTCACTCCGGTAGCAGAGATGGCTGGTCAAAGCGCTCACACATGGAGAAAAAAATGCAGCAAAAAATAATATGCTATTGGTCAACAGAACCCGTTGAGGTTTTGGTACTTCCCTTACCAAAACACAACATAGAGTGCACAATCCACTTAATGCCAAAGAGTGGCATCTAATACAAATAGACTGTTTCATGTATGTAATGTCAAAGTTAACAGACATTTAGTGTATGTCGACATGGACCATAGGTGGCAAAATTTTCATAGTATACATTGGGTATTTCTGACAGTGCGTGGTGGGAGGTGAGGGCAGTGTGAGAGTTAGTTCGAAAAGTGGTTTCGCGCAAAAGATATTTTTGTGATGTCGTATGAATTTGCTTTAGCTTTTCAGACGGTTATCTGGTATGAAATTAGTTGAAGATGAAACTATATTTTGAATCTCTAATATAGCTGAGAAAAAATTCCTATGCTCTATGTCGACATAATGACGGTTCGCGGTAAGAGGTTTAAATCTCACAAAATTCTTGTGAAGAGACAGTCGAATCTTTGTATGTGTCCATATTGTCGTCAGAACGTCTAGCTCCTATGAAATATATATGAAAAGAAAAGAAGACGAAAAATGGATTATATATGCATTCTTTTTGTTTGCAAGGTTCTTTTAAGAACTACAAGACAAGATTCTTGCAGAAAATCCCTTTCTTGTGAATTCAGATAAGAATCCGTCTCGCGATTCTTATATGAACTCACAAGAAAGCTATTTCCTACAAGATTCTTGTGATAAAAATAGCGGCAAAATATTTCATAAAATTCTTGTCTGAAATGCCAAGAAACAAGAATCTTGCAGGAATACCCGTAAGAACGTTGCCCAGTGTGTATAGTTAAGATAAAATCTCGATGAAGAAGTATAAAACTTTTCTACTGTTTCTCGGTGTAAGATAAAATTAATGCAGGTACTAAGGTAGAGTTCGTTGAGCTGTACAACATTGCTCACAGGAGAAAGATGGAACAATTTATCCTTAATTTATAAAACTTTTTCTATATTCTTTCTTATAACTCATTTTACATAGCGCATTTAATCGTTCACTGTTTGACAGGGTATGATAGAGCTCGTTAAGCATCAGGATATAGATTACATGAGAAGTACAGAATCATAAACTACTAAGTACTGAACGAACGTGTTCCATAGTTTCTCTTCAGTCTTTAATTTTATTATCGCTATTTTTCCTTGGTCTCCACACACTTTCTTGTTCAATTTTACTAACTTTATCGTGCATTTCATGCTCTATTGCGCTCTATATCTTATTTGTCTATTTATCTGCGTATTTACTTTGTTATTAAATTATTAATAAACATTTTTCTTTCTGTTATTCATCCATTATTTACCTATTATTATTGATTACAAGTGACTGGTTATTTCCAGGAACCAATAAAATAATTCTTATAGTATACAGAAACATTAGAACAATCGATTCCATGACTGACGACAAAACAGAAACTCCTGAATTACAAATCGTTCGTCTCGAAGAAAAAATCAAATATCAAGATGCAATCATTGATCTCCAAAAAAGTAGGATCAAGTGTCTACAACAAGCAGCCGAGCAACATACTTCTCAAGTTCAACAGCAACATTCTCTTGTGAATCTGCTCGACAATCTCTCTACTACGATTCAAAACCTCAACAAAAAGCTCGATGAACCATCCTCTCTACCTACTTCCTCACAGCAGCAGCCATCAGCCAATCTTCTCAGCAACAAACAACTGCAAACCCTTCATTTACTTCTCAGGATCATCCACTGTCGAACAAAATAAAACACTGTATTATTGGCGACTCTTTAACAACACACGTAGATAAACGTAAACTTCAGTCGATCCATCTTCAAACCGATATTCGTTCGTTTCCTCAAGGCGGTACCCTCGAGCGAGTCTCTCAATTGATTCATCAAGGACGTCTTGATGAAACTCTCTCTTCTTCTCAACCAGCCACCTTTATTCTTGGAACCAATAATCTAACAGTTGAACAACCAACAGCAGCGATAGAAAAAGTCAAAAATCTCGTACATATTATGAAGAAAAATGATTCTACATGTAATCTGAATTTTGTTCTAGTTCCACCTCGTCGCTTTGAATCAATATTGGACGACGTAAACATTGCCGATTCTGTTAAAATGTTCAATGACGATTTACAACAACTCTCTTCTCAGCTAAATTTCAAAACAATTGATTTAGGCATTTCATTAGAATATGTCAGTCGTCGTGATGGTATTCATCTTACTCCTGAAGGAGTTAATAAAATTACAAAAACATTAATACGAACATTAAAATCAAGTAAATGAGAATTAGATTCCCCATTGAACTCAAGAAATTGTATTTCTTCAGTAGACTTTCAGCCACAACCATCAGTCTCTGTTAGTAACTCTGTTCGTCTATCATCTCAAGATACTGTTTTCGCGTTATTTTCTTTAAACATTGCACCGCGTTCTCAAGTTGTACCTCCATCTCTTTTAACACCTGCGGCTAACCTAAATCAGCCAACTTCATCGTTTTTACAATGCTCGAAAGCAATTTCTTCCTTAAACCCGTCAGCTCCTCTGTTTTTTCCAAAAATTACTGTTTTTCCATTAGTATCTCACAATACTCAAAGTCTGGCGCGTAATTTTGACAGTTTAGAGCAGTTTATAAATAAAACTAAACCTGGTGTTGTTTGTCTACAAGAAACATTTCTTTCTAGTGTAATTTCTGATCAGAAAATCTCTATACCACACTATGTTCTTTACCGTTGCGATAAGTTAAGGCGTCAAGGGGGTGTAGCTATTTTTGTTAAAAACGATATTCCGCATTTTTTCATTGCCTCTTCTTCAGCTAGTCAAGCTATTATTCTTTCTCTTACTGTAAATAACCAGGCCCTCTGTTTATGTAACATTTACCGTCGGCCTAAACAACCAATTTCTTACTTTGAATCTCTTCAAAACTTTCCTCTTTCTCATCTTAAAAAAGATTTATCAATTATTCTCGCCAGCGGTTTTAATGTGCATACTGTCTAAGGTCTCAAAACACTTTTAGCTGTTTTCGATCTAAAAAACTCTTTCTCTGTTTCAACTACGATTCACAATACATTTATTGATAACGTGTTTTTTTCTTCGCATCTTCATCCACCTCCCATGTCGATAGGATACGCTAGTGACACATGTGTCGACACATTGACACGATGGGTGTACGTGTAACCATACGTATTGATACATTGTATTTTTTGTACGTCATGTGTCGACACATGTGGCGCTAGCGTGTGGTGGATAACCGACGGTATAATATGGAAAAAGTGCAGGAAAGAAAAAGAACAGCCATCTTTTCGCTATAAGAAAAGCGTGGTCGCCTATATCTATAGTCACACGTATGTTTCTGATTCAAATTGGAATATTTTCGTTGCTGATTACTAGTTGTTTCTTTAGTATTTTATCTGTTTTACTTTTTAGATTTTGTTTGATAACATTATACTGTATACTGTCTGTTTTAGAAATTTTACATTATTGTGTAAGCCATACAGGATTAATGTCGAAAAATTACCAGGATGAACAGACCGATGATGAAGATGCAAAGGCATATAGTAAGTTCACTTGAAAAAAATCGACGAAAGTTATTGAAATTCATTGTTATTGTTTGCTGCATCTTTGCAGCAAAAAAAACAATATCCTATTAAATTTATCACATAGAGAATTTTGCTTACTGAATATTTTCCCTATAGAACGATTATGTAGCAAACATCGACAAGTTAAACGAAGACAAAGGCTTACTAGCCTATTCTGTCCCGATGCTTCTACATTGACTGATTCTTCTGTTATATGTACACAAGGTTGGTTTTATTTTTCATTTGATATTTTCGTCTATCTGGTTATGCTATCTTAATTAATAGCTTTTACATTTTCAGATGAAGAAGATAATAACAATTATAATACATCTACTGATTCACCTACTCTGTATAGTCAAAGTAAATTAACTTTTTAACCGATAGTTTGATCTTTCCATTTATTGTATATTTATTAATAGATTTTCTATTTTTTGATGAAGAAAATAATAACGATACAAATCATACCGATAATGGTAATACTTTTCTTTAAGATCATTTGAACGTCAGGCGGATCTATCGAGCTATTTGGAAAATAGTTATTATTTTTTATTTCATACACCTAGGAATTCTTACTGCAAATGTTGAATTCGAAAATTGTTATGATGATAAAAAATCGCAAAATTTTGATACTGATTTCATTGTTGACTCAATGTTTGATATACATGATACTGAACCAAAAATAGAATTAGAAATAGCAAAATATATATGTCAGGCAAATCTTGACAAAACAAAAACAAATCACTTGTTGACATTATTAAATCATGTGCATGATCAACGTCAATTACCACCATCTTCAAGTATTGATTTATGGGATAAATTGAATATAAAATTCGAATATACAAAAATTGAATACTGTACAAGTTGTACGTTGGAAATAAATGGATCTTCATGTTTATGCAACAGTACTAATAAACAAATTTCATCTGAATTGATAATTTTTCCCACTGTTAAAGAAATCGAACGAATCGTTAACAACAATTATGATTTAATGTTAAATTATAAATTACAAAAAGATGATAATTTAGATGATATTGTAATGGGTATCCTGCATTGTTGTCTTTTCTTTTAAATAATTTTTCTTCAGCATTGCTGTGAACAGATTAAAATTAATCATGATTACCATGATTAAAGATTGTGTATAGTGTGACCAAATCCTTTTTTAATCATGATTAATACTAATTTAATCACGGTTAAATAAACAATGTGACCGCGCTAATCATGAGTAAAGATTGATCATAATTAAGAACAGCAAATAAATACAGATAGTGCTCTAAAACTGGCTCATTTTTCTGTCAGTCAAGTGAACAATGAACACTGTTACTTTACTAAACGTTATTAAATAAAGAAAAGTATTTACAGCAAAAAGACTACTCTTTAAAAATACTTGAAAAACTCGTGGCTATAAATGAAGGTATATGCCTAAGACAGACGAGATGCAGCGCAACTGAGGGCTGTATTTATTCAGTGACTACACTTTGAGAAACTTTCAGTATTCACTCTGAACCCCTTAATCGAAAGAATTTTGTGATGGAAAAGAAGACAATGAGAAGATAAGTAGGCAAGGTACGACTAGTTTCTTAATAAATTAAAATTTGAATATACTGAAGAAAGACGAAGAAATAATTAATTAATTGCTAGTCTCAGTTTATTAGCTAAAACCAGTAGCCAATCTCATACTATTTTCGCCATTTTGTTTTCCAATAGATAAGTATCCATACATTTAATCATGATTAGATTGGTCGCACTACATTTAATCGCGATTAACACTAATCATGATTACGCTATTCATCTTTTAATCATGCATATAGTTAATCATGATTAGCGAGTTAATCGTGATTAGCGAGTTAATCGTGATTAGCGAGTTAATCGTGATTAACGTCGCAGTCACACTACGAATTAATCGCGATTAACTAATCACGATTAGCTTAATCGTGATTAAGGCTGTAGTGTGACCCTAGTGTAAGAATTAAATAGTAAAAAATAGAAAACGATAAAACTACAGCACATTTTTTTTTTGAAAAAGTGTGGTATTTTTGTGGTATTTTGCATCGAATTTTTAGGTGAACAAATTGAAGATCAGTAGTGTAGCTGTCTACCTATATATTAGTTAAACAATAATAAATATTCTTTACAGACTTCCGTTGAGTTAAATTAATTTGAGGAAGAAATATCGTAAATGAAATAAAAATAATAATTTGCATTTTGACTTTTTGCTTCTTTTTAGGGGAAATATACAAAAACCAATCAGCCAAAAGTTCAAATCCAATTACTGTATGAATTTCTACAGATGGAAAACCAACAATAAGATCTAGTAAATCTTCACTATGGCCGGTAAGTGTTTCATCGTCAGTGCAGCTACATCATCTTTTGGACAAGCAGGAAAAATGCTAATAAAGTTCAAAGTTCATAAAGCAAAAGGCCTTTGCGACGTTCTGATAATGAAACTTGTTGCTTGTTCATTTCAAAATTGTTTATGTAAAAAAAGAAATATTGCATAGATATCATTTATATCAATTGCAACTCAATAGACTGCATTTTAGTTTTTGACCTTAACTGTTGGAAAAGAGTGCACAGTTCCATAGCACAGTTGAAGTATCATCTCACTACAATTTTCGCATCATTTTTCATTTAGGTCTTAGCAAGAATCGTCGAAGTGCCACGACCTTTTCGTAATAATGAACAAAATACAATACTATTATGTCTTTGGCATTCACCTCGTGCCCCAACAGCTAATCAACTGCTGGGTCGAATTGTAGAAGATATATCTCGTCTACTTGAAAGTGGTATTTATATTAATATCAATGGCTTAGGTAAGAAATAAGAAAATGATTGTTTCGTGATAAAATTTCGCTCAAGTTTTCCTTCTCCTGTTTTTACTATCAGTAGTATTGTTTCTATATGAATGTGAAACTCGACTTGTCGAGTTTCACATTCATACAGATTTATTCTTCAAAACCGCACAAAACTCGCATATTTAATCGGAAAAATGTGACTAATTTTGTCTTTCTCCACTGTGAACGAGCTTGACTAGTAAGAGGATAGGTGACCACTTCTGAAGATCAAACCATGCATTATTATGGAGTTTACCACTATAAAGTAGAGAATTATGACGTAATGTCTTTCTCCATTCTGTCAAAACTACGCTTAGTAAGAAGATGGGTGACTACTTCCCAAGATCAAATCATAAGAATGGTGTTTTTCACATTTGTCTCAACAGTTGTTGAGTGAAAATTTTTAGATATAGTTTAAGTGTAAAGGGATGAATCATTTCTGATAGAATGAAAAGAAATACTTAATGTAGAGAAGCAGAACATGTGTATTGTACAGTGATATCGTCCTTCGCTCTCGTCGTGTGAAAGTTATCGTTCTTTGTTCGATAAGAACATTGAATAGTAACACCCCCATACGGTGTGGATGAAGCTGTGTTGCTTGTCGTACCTTAGCTCTGTCTTTCTCGAAGGAAATCACCTGATGAGACCCTTGAGAAAGGTCGCAACCGGTCGTGGTATCTTCTTTTGATTCTTTCTGAAATGAAGAATATTTTTTTATAGGGAACAGAGCATTTATCTGACTTATCGAGACACATCTTTCATTATTCTTTTGGTTTATTTAGGTTATGTTCATTTTGATCTTTATGTCCAAGGTGTTTGTGCTGATGGACCTGGTCAATCGAAAATAACTCAAATAGTAGCGCACAACGGATATTATGCATGTCGAGTATGTGAACTTCAAGGAATTTATAGTGCACGTGATAAAACATGTACTTACTCATGGTCTTCATTTGTACATACAAATCCACGTTTTCGAACTAGAGATCGATTTGAATTATGCTTGAAAAAAGTTGAACGTCTTTTTAATATGGGCAATACAGATATTAATGTTTATGGTATAAAAGGAATATCTCCATTAAACCAATTGATTTTCTTACCTACACAATCTATTTATGACTATTTTCATTTATGTCTTGAGGTAAGTTTGCTTGAAACTTAATTAATCGTAGCGTTTTAAAAGAAGAATATGCTTTTCATGGAGGATGGATAGATTTGATTCCTAAAATTTGAATAATACTCTTGACAGCCTTTAAAAACTAGATCAATATTGTTGAGAAAATTTATATAAGGAAACGTCCAGTTTGAAACGCTAAATTGACACACCAAGTTTGACCAAAGAATTACAACAAACGAACGACTTGGCAGCTTGATTGGTTTCTTTTATTTTTCGTTGTAGGGGCATACAAGAGTTTTACTTAGAGAATGGAATGATATCCATTCTGGTACCAGTGTTCAAACTCGTCAAATTATCGCTAAATTCGATACGTTTTTTTCGAACATCAAATATCCTCATTCTATTCACCGTAGAGTGGGGAATTTTCGAGCTTATAATGATTGGAAAGCAGCTCAACTTCGTTTATTTCTGTTGTATTTGGCATTACCATTTCTGTTATTTTTCAATGAATATTTTCCTCCTTTACTGGTTTTTCATTTTTCGTTATATATGCTTTACATATGAACATTATGTTACTTTAATGCAAAGAAAGATGTTTATGATGCACGTCCATTTATTGAGTCTCATCTTCGTCGGTTTCCTGAGTTTTATAATAAGGCAAAGGAACTTCTCTCAACACACTGCAACATGCACTTATGGCAGCAAGTAATTCGACATGGTTCTCTCAGTACAACCAGGTATGATTTTTTTATTGATTCTTAATTGAAATAAGTTATGAGTTTGTTTGTGTTCATCGCGAATATTTAATTTATCGATAGAGAACTAATTAAATATAATTTTTTATTGAATCTATTGTTGCAAAAATTGAAAAGTACGAAAAATAGAATTCAATACATGGATGTAAAAGTTGAGATCGAGCATTTTATAACATCGTTTGACAGATTGTCATGTAAGCTTAAATCGAAATTATATTGTCATGAGTTTTTATATGCTATTGAAGTATGAATATTTATCTTCTATACTTCTGTAACGTTTTGGCAGGTAGCGGCTTTTGTAGTCTATAGTTATATATACGAGAAATTTTAATGTACTAGACGAAAATTACAGGGTATCATACACTGATTTATCACCATTTTATTTTTTTTAGTATGTTCAGTTCAGAATCATGTTTACATGGATTATACAAATTAGCTCATGGAACTAAACATTTGGGCGAACAAATTGCTTATTGGTATACTATTCATCGTGCTATTCATTCGATGTCAATTAAAAATCAACCAGGTATTATTCATAATGGGTGTCTCATCGATGGGTATATTGATGAATTTATTATCCAAAAATATCAACAACAATTTGATAATGCATTTTTTCTCAAGTTCTTTTGTTCACCAGACAGGTCAATCGTTTTTCGATCTCGCTACAAGATAGGACTTGTTGTATATCATTCTCTTATGTACTCATTCCGAAAACAATCATGCAGCTTCAATGTGTGTGTTAATAATTGTAACTGCCCCCAAAAAAAATGTTTTGGCGAAATTGTCTTTTTTTTCTCCTATCAAGACGAATTGTTTTTCTTTCTTTATTCTCATCCATGTTCTGAATCTCATCATTTTTCTTCTGCTATTCCTGTCGATGAATATGTACCTCTTTGGTCTGAACGTGTGGATAGTTTTTACTATCTTGTTGATAAAAATATTGATAATTTTTTTATTTTTTCTTGTAGAGCACTTCGTTCAAAGTGTTTTTTCCTTTCATTTCATGATGCTCGTTTTATTGTTTGTACACCTATTGATAATGAACTTGAACATGATTAAAAGTATAGGTTTATCATCACAGCTTTCTTCTAGGTTTACTGTTACGCATTTTATCTTCTTTATCCATAAATTGCCAACTAGTACAAATTCAGTTAAGCTATATCTTCTTAGCTTTTGATCATTAAACTTTTTAGAAAATGTCTACGAGCACCATCTCAAAAAGCAATGCTTCTCAGCGCATTGTTGCAACAACGGCTCCGTATCAACTTTCACCTCATCAATCTTCAACTCAATATCAATCTTCAACTCAATATCAATCTTCAACTCAATATCAATCTTCAACTCAATATCAATCTTCATCTATTCGTCAACCGTGTACTCAAACCACCAGTTACTTTGCACCTGTTCGTTCTTCTCAAGGACACAGTAAGTGTACTGTCTCTCTCAATGTATTTGGAACCAAGAAAAAATACAATATCAGAATGAAATTATATTGCATGTATATTCTTAGAGAGAAGTCGTAGATTTCTTTACATTAGAATGAAGAATGTCTTATAATGAAGAAGTTTATTTGATATATGAGCTATGAAGAAAGCATATGTATATATATTTTTATACGTAAACAATCGATTTCATATTTATAGATCAACCACATACATATGGTCCTTCCTACAACCAACAACGTGCATCACCTTATACTGTCAATTCTCCTCGTATGAATCGTCGTCAAGGTAATTTTGTTACATAATTTAAACATAAAACAATTTTTTCTTGTATCGTGCAGGTGGTATGTCTTATTCCGAGCTGGATACAGAACCTGTTGATTTGGTCGACGAAAATATCCGTCCTGCTCATCTTGTTACTATCAATCAAAATGCACTCGATATGCTTGTTGAACGATGTAGCATGCTAGAAAAAGAGATGCAAACATTACAATCCAAAACTGACAAAGTACTGAAAATTGCACTTACTTCAACGAGAAATGAACAGGTATAATGTTTAATTTTAATGTGCTAATCGAGTCTTTTAGTACTAACAGTCGTGAATTTTGTGTGGCGTATAAAACAGGATCACCAAATTTAGACAAGTTTTGTTAATAGTTATGCGTTGACAACAACCAGGTTGCCAAACTTATCTTATATTTAGAATTATTGAATTTCTATAAGTCTAAAATTTTGAATCGTAAGTATTTCTTTCCGACTGATTCTGTATTAAACAATAGATGTAATATCTGTAAACATATCATGCGTACGTTGTAGATATATATGTGAAAATATTATTTATTGTTGACTCATACTTATTTTTTTTTATTGAATTTCAGGATTTTCTAACTACAAAGCCAAAATCAAAACCAAATCCAATTGTGAGTAGATCTTTATTTTTCTGAATTTATTTTTATTTGTTTTAATAAATGAATCTTTATTGCAGTTATGGAATAATCAGAATTTACTTGAAAAACCACGCACAGCTTTGCCTACAACTTACTTATGTTATCTGGTGCGCAAAATGTATTCTGCCGAAGAAATAAAAAGCAAAGTACCACAGCTACAGTCAACAGATGGTGATGAAAGATTAGATAAGATTAAAGGTATTATTTCGGTTTTATGAAACCGATAGTGTTGAGCATTATTTTCTGCAGTGATTTTATTATAAAATTTGTTCGCTTAATAGAGTAGTTATCAAATCGTTTTTTGAACAGAAAACAGATTTAGTTTAATTTTCCGAGCGGATGATTAAAAAGTTCTCAAAACTAGGTGGTACCTTTTTTGATTAATTAACATCGTTAGTATACCTACTGTATGAAAAACCAAATATTATTGCCTCTTACTATACAAAACAGTACAGTATAAGAATTTTTCTTTCGCATATTTATATTTCGCGTATATTTATCTATTATAGAATGTTTGACGACATTGTATTTTTCACACGATCCATATTTGGTTGACGAATTTATGTCAACAAAAGGACGTGAAAGTTTGCACGCTCAAGAGCGTACAAAGAGAAGTCGAGATAAGTAAGTCACACTTTGGTTTCTCTACCCTCTATGATATTATATCATTCAAACTATTATTCGTCACATTTTTAGATTGAAAGCAGCATTAAGATTGACTGACAATAACAAAAATACTGTGGGTATTAGTTCAATGAACATGAACAATAGCCAAGAGAGTCAAGATATTGACACATTTGATGATATTTAAACAGATAAAATAGCTTTTGTAAAGCGTTCAATATCAATTATATCAACAATATTATTGAGATTTGGCGATATTACCTAGAACAATTTTACTTACGTTAAATTAATAAATTTAGTTATTTCCATATTAAGACAGATTAAATCAAACAAAAAAAAAAGAGAAGAAATTTAGGCATTTTGTCTGATAAGTGTGTGTGGTATGCTCTATACCTGTGCTTTTATTTTATTATTATTAATCTCTCATTCTCTTTTATTGACGTAAAGAAAAAAAAAGAAAAAATGATAACAACAAATGAACAAGTTTTGTTTTGAAATTTGCATGTTTTTTTTTGGTCATTATAGCATGAAAATTTTTATCGGTATTATGTCTTTTTTTACTGTTTATTTTGTGGTTTTTTGTTATTGTGAAATCATGATTGCATTTAATTCGAAAGTAAAAATTGATCAGAGAGATGGCATAATTATTCAATAGATCAATTCATTCAGCATTCCTAGTGACTAAAACGAACTAATACCATTGTTAGAAGAAATGACACTGACGGTGCTAGGTAAAAAACGGAAAATGAATTCTATTGCTCGGTTTGACCAATCAAGTTCGATATGATGTATGATTGGTCTAACTGACGGACACTGACATGTCTGTGACACTATGGCAGTAGATGTATCAACACAGCACGGCACACGTTACGTACATGTGTCGACACACTATGACACTGTATCAAAGTGTGACTGAACTTCATGTGTCACACAATTTGTGTCGGCACATGTGTCGGTAGCGTATCCTATCGACATGGGCTAGTACCTCTGTTAGTTGTTCTATCGGAAAATCACCACATTCTATTTTATCTGCTTGTTTTCCATATGAGATTAAGTCTTCTTCTTCTGCTAAGCAAGTCTATGATTATGATAACACCTGTCTCTTCTTTTTAGAAAATTAAGTCATATTTCTCCTAATTTCTATTTAACTAAAGAACCTAATGACGCAGTGCGAATTTGGCTGAAGCATGTCACGTCGGTTATAGATCATTGTATTCCAATTAAGGCTGTCCCAAAAGTTAAAGAAAGAACTCTTCGTCTATCTAGGCAAACGCGTTTTCTAATGAGGAAAAGTTATTCAGCTTTTCGGAAACTCAAAACAAAGGCCATTCTGGCTCTCTTCTTCAAAAGTACAAATATTTCCGAAATTCGGCTATTAAATCTCTTCGTGATGATAAAAAAACTATGTTTTCTTCAATCTCAAAATCGTATAGTAAAATGTTTTGGTCTGCGCTAAAAAAATATCGCAAATCTGAGGAAGATTTTCCGCCTCTTTTGCACCATCTTTCTGCATCAGCTACAACTGATACAACAAAACCTGAATTATTTTCTGATTTTTTCAAAACTTCTTTTTCTTCTCTAGTGGATTCTCATCAACTTCCTCAATCAGTCCTTTCCACCAACCAGCTTTCGGATATACCTTTTGATGTTTCGGATGTGTTTAAGGCTATTTCTCAGCTGAAAAACAAAGAGTGTGTAGGTATCGATAACACCCATGTCGCCAAAACCAAAAAATTTTTTCAAATTTTACGCAGAAAAACGCATGCAAAAACTTAAGTGAAGTAATGCAAAATATGGTTACACGAGCAAAATAAATACAATATTTTGTGTAAAAAAAA